TAATGTACATGGGGTACTCAGGAGCACTGATATCCTACAGGCAAGCTAGATATTATGTGTATAACAGAATAATGTATACCAGATGGAGTACCCGTCCGTTGAACGGATGAAATAAAAACTCGTTTGTAACAAAGGATAGGAAATCGTGCTTTTATTTATTTTTTAACATAATAAACATTAAAAACGTAATAAAAGACATAAAGGTACTAATACTGAAAATGAAGACATACTGTTTTAAAGAATTCTAACAATATGAAATTAGATGAGGAAGGGTCCAACCCCCTTCATGACCTTCCTCATGTTATTCTGTATCACTATGTCAAGTTGTGCTGATTTGGTAGTATTTTTCGAAATTATATGGGGATCCAACCCCCATGACCTTCCTCATATCATCCTATATCGTTGTGTCAAGTTTGGTGCTGATTGATCAAGAAATATGAAAATGTATAAGGAACAGATGGCTGAAAGGCGCGAGCAAACAGATACAAGCTGAGCTCTATATATATTAGATTGTAGAGAACAAACTGAACATAGTCTAGTGAAATAAATAGATTGAACACAACTGTGAAACATCAAACAGCAATATATATATACATACACACACATATATATGTATATAAAATCTAATATCAAGGTAGCAGAGGTCTTGAATTCACAATCAATGGCCAGTTATTGAATATTTATACTTGGCCAATGTTTGTTGGAGACTGCTAGACTTAAAGAAAAACATCCCTCACAGGAGGAAGGTTGGAAAAATCGGGTGATACTGGACTTTATTTAGGTCAAATATATCTTAATTCATATCCCACAGTCTGAGCTATCCACACTAGAAGCCATTTGATTTTAAATGACGTAAAGTAGTACAACAACAGCTTGCTGTTGACCCTCCTACTTATGCTGTGACGTGGACAGGAATAAGACCTGTATCCACCGAAATTGTCTCCCAAAAGGATATGGACAATTTCATATCCACTATCCTTTCATACCTCGATAAAAAAAAGATTCCATACCTCATTGTTATAGGCATCTTCAGGAGGTCCTCTCTTGCATTAATGGTGCAGCCATGAGAAATGGGTCAAGGAATCCTGATTTATTATATGGTGGCTACGATATCTGTCACTTCCTGTGACAATGGAGCTGTTGGTTTACATAGAGACTGTGACAGTGCTGAGTCCCAAGCCTGTTTTGTAGCTAAATCAACCATCACAGCAACAACTGTTGGCTTTTCTTTCAGCTACAGCGTACAATCAATGTAACCGCCTTGAATCAGTTCTCCACAATAACAGACTCTGTAAAATAACAATGTACCTGACACCCATACCACATGGCTTCGTCTGGGAGAAGAGCGGTTGATGGAGCTTTATTGTGATGGAACATTAAGGTCAAGACTAAAAAGAAATCCACTATGGCAGTTTTGGATTCAGATAATTGAAGAGTACCAGAACTTGCAGAAAAAGTAATTCGTTTTTTGATGTCATTTTTCCACTACTACGTACCTGTGGGAAAGAGGATTTTCATCACTTGCGGCCCTGAAGTCCAAATTCAGAATTAGAATAAATACTGAACCTGACCTGTGGCTAATACTGGCGAATATTACACCCAACATTACAGAACTTAGCTTACATTGATTTTATTGTATATGTCTAGAAGCTTGTGAGCTTTTGGTTAAAATCCTTGTATATTACCCTGTTATTGGAATAAGAAGATATGTCAGCTTCATCTCAATGGCTTTCTGGGCCAGTGAATTATCTTTTTTTAACCATAGCTTTTACTTTGTGAGTGAGATAATCACCCAAGATTGGCTTGGAAAACAGGTGCTGACCTAAACGCTCTGGTGTATACTTTTTCCATTTTCATTGGAGAACGCTGGAGGCTCTCTTCGCCGAATATTGTGCCTTTGGTTCTACATCGTTTAACAATCTATGGAAAAAGGAATCACATAAAGTTATCCAGCCACATGTCTATCCATTATGCAACTGCATAAGTATAAGCAAATCGTTCTTATAAAGTGTGATTAATTAGTCCTTTGTGTTCTACATATACTTATACATCTTAGGTTCTAAATCTTCTTACATCTGTACTATGATCAAAAACAGCGAAACTTTAGAAACTATATTTAAACTTGAGATTATCTGTTAGTGTTGGCGGAGTGAGCTATATTTTCAGACTTTGTCGAGATCTTTTAAGAAAAAGTTTGAATTGCCTTTTTGGAAGAGAAGAATCCACTTATACATTTTAGCGTACACTGTAAAGACAAACTATGGGGAAGAGTCGCAAAACTCATGACGGGTTTTCATTATGTCATGTATGGTTTGGTCTGGTTTTTGTTAAGCACACATCTACATAATCGGCTGTCTGTGCTCTGCCAACCACGGGTATCGAAGCCTGATTTTTAGCGTTATAAGCCTGCAAACATACCGCTGAGCCACTGGGGGAAGGAGCATATGTCATGTAACACAAGTTTCATTCAGTAATATCTAACAATTTTTAGCATAAAAACATCCTTAATGCTTTGAAATTTAACAGTCTTTATTAAATTTTGTAAGTATGAGCATGTATATAGTTAAATTGTTATGGTATGAAGTGAAGCCATTACACGTAACTTTTAACAGGATCATTCTGTTTGGAAATGTTAACAGTTCTGTCTACCTTGAAGTATTACTTAAATATAAAATATTTAGGAAAGGTTATTTTCCCTTATTTACTGCAATCAGAAGTAGGAATGCTCCCACTCGCAAAGTATACTGGGTATACAAAGTCGGTCATAAGCTTAATGTAATAACTCTGATGAAACTAATATATATATTTAAGTTAAATTTAAGTGAAAACGACCTCACACAGGAGTTCTCAACCTTTTTACACTTCAAGATCCACTTACTTATTTGGCACAATAATATAGGCCCATATATGCAGTTGATGACTTAACAATGTATTTTTTATTATAGCCATTTGTACGCGCAGGTTTACAGACACACATTAGTTCTTTTTTCAACAAAGCAGCTTTTAGCTATGACAATAGCATGTACTGGAGTATAATTGTAGTTAATTCTTGACCTCAAGGTGCTGCTACTCGAAATCTAATGTCAGCATTTAGCTTGAGCACATAACGAGGGAAGTCCCCTGTATCACAACACTTGCTGGCTAAGCGGTATGTCTGCGGATTTACAACGCTAGAAACCGGGTTTCGATACCCGTGGTGGGCAGAGCACAGATAGCCCTTGTGTAGCTTTGTGCATAATTAAAACAAACAAACACAACACTTGCTTAGTTTAATCTAAAGATCACTATGTTCACAGCCAGATTGTAGTGTATGTTAAGTAGTGGTTATTATGAAGTATATTTCAGTGTATGTTCGCTAATGAAGTAGCGAGGGAAAAATATATTTTGCATATAATATTGTTACGACAGCGGAAGTCACGTGATACTGGTAACACGTGATGAGTTTCTCGAATGATCATGAATTTCCTAGTGCATTCGGGACGCCCCTTTCTCAGTATATAAGCCTGGCAGATAAAGCCTGCGGTATGAGTGATTGAAGAGATATAGATAAATATTAAAGTGACAGATAACTGAGTCAAGCGAACAGTAGGCACCGTAAGTAAAGTGTGTGAATCACTGTGATTTATAGCGTGTGTTATAAAGGTTGTTAAGTTTAAAATGACTGTGGAAGTTCTGTGTATTACAAAAAGTTGTATCCAGAAAGAATAAACTGGTTTAATTAAGAAAGGACTTGTATCACTGAAGTTCTTTGGAAAGAATTTTTACGGAAAATTAACAAACAAGCATATACGTACCAAATTGGTGTCAGGAGTAGGATTCGAACCCACGCCCGGAAGACCGGACTGCGAAATAAACAAGAGAGATTACAGCAGTTGTTGAAGGAAAACGAAACGAAACAAGAAGAGAGATTACAGCAGTTGTTGGAGGAAAAAGAAAAGAAACAGTAAGAGAGATTACAACAGTTGTTGAAGGAAAAAGAAAAGAAACAAGAAGAGAGATTACAGCAGTGGTTGGAGGAGAAAGAAAAGAAACAAGAAGAACGAGAAAATAAATAAGAAGAGAGACTACAGCAGTGGCTGGAGGAAAAAGAAAATGAACAAGAAGAGAGACTACAGCAGTGGTTGGAGGAGAAAGAAAATGAACAAAAAGAGAGACTACAGCAGTGGTTGGAGGAAAAAGAAAATGAACAAGAAGAGAGACTACAGCAATGGTTAGAGGAGAAAGAAAATGAAGAAGAGAAACTACAGTAGTGGCAAGAAAACCAGCACCAGTGGCAAATGGAACAAGAAAGGAAACACGAAGTACAAGTGGAAAAGATTAGTAAATTTCAAAGTGAATTAAATAAATTAAAGGATGATTTACTGTCTTTTACACAAGGAAGATATATTAGCCATGGACCTAATCAGCCCCAGACAACAGGAAGCCCCTTCCAGACCCCGCAGTTAAACCCTAATGCAGACATCTTCAATCCTGCCAGGAGTCACATTCCAGACATGAGTGTCAGCAATAGGGGTCATCTAGTACGAAGGAAGCCACAGGAATTCGATGGGAAGGCACCATGGGAAGCATATAGAGCACAAGTTTAGCTCCTGGCAGAAATGAATGGATGGACAGAGGAGCAGGAGGTAGTGTACCTGGCAACAAGCTTGAAGGGACAACCACTGGAAATACTTGGACAGTTGTCGGCAGACGACAGACACAACTATAGAGCAGTGGTAGCGGCTCCAGAACTCAGGTATGGAACTCAAAATCAGTCCAAAGTCTACAGGGCTAGGTTTAGGACGAGAGTCCGTGCTAAAGGGGAGAGCCTGCAAGAGCTGGCACAGGATTTGGAAAGTATGGCACACAAGGCCTACCCAACTGCACCACCCGATCTCCTCAAGTTGTTGCTTAGAGATCAGTTTGTAGATGCCTTGGACAGTCCACAACTTAAGATACAAGTGAAGCAAGCACACCCCTCTACCATGCAGGATGCAATGGTCAGAGCTCTTGAATTCGAATCCTATGTTAAGCCCAGCACAGAGGTACCAAGGTTGGTACAGTCATCAGGATTCAAGGCCAGAAACGGACAGCTTTGAGAGTAGTTTGAGGGACTTTGCTGGCACTGTAACAAACCTGGGCACAAGAGAGCTCAATGCCGGCAACTTCAACCCAGGAAAGATGCCACGGCAGGAAAGGCTGCTACCCAGAGAGGTTGTTGGAACTGTGGAGAGCAAGGACATATGAAGAGCCATTGTAAGAAGAATACTACCAATAAGTCAGCTTCGGGAACCAGTAGTGGTTGGTGCTGAGGGACGCGTACCAACCCCCATTGTGAAAGTCCCAACAGCTAAGTGTAAAATGGCAAGTAAACACAGTGTCTACGTGACAGGAAAGCTGGATGGCCAAAAGTGCAACTTTGTCATAGATTCTGCATCTCAGCAAATTATTGTGAGTATCAAGGTGCTAGATCACAAAGGAGTACCAGAAACCATACAGAAGCTCTGTGGCGTAACAGGACATTATACAAGGTTGTGGGGACCAGTGTGGGTAACTATTGAGCTTATGGGCATGAAGGACAGACACAAAGTATACTTGGCTGACATTGAAGACCAGC